CTTGCGCTAGGCAACACACTTCAACCGAGGGAACAACAAATCGTTGGATCCTCTTCATCTTCTTCAACTCTCTGCTGCCAAACCCTCAGCAATGTTCTGTAGAAACATCTGTCACCTTCATGGCCTGTTCCTCAACTTCAGCGCGTAGCTTACAATCCTGAGCTCCTGAACTCTGGACTGGACCCAGGCTTGACCTTGTCTGCCTCCTCCTTCTCGGCGACGCTTCCCCAAAAGGAATGTTGTCGTCATCAAAGTCAAGATTTACGAATGCGCCATGGTGAGTCCTGTTGGAGTTGATGATGCACCACGCCGTCTCTGCAGTTCTCAAGGGTCTTGACAAGAAAGTTGATATAGACCTGTGTACTGCGCCTGCCACGAAATCTGCACTCCAGGTTCACAGAGTGCTGTGCCTGCCACGAAATCTCCATTCCGGGTTCACCAAGTGCTGTGCCTGCCACACAAACGGCAGCCGCCGCCCAGCGACGACCGTGCGCGCTGCAGCTGGCCCGGGAGGCTCTGTGTACTGCGCCTGCCACGAAACTCCAGGCTCACAGAGTGCTGTGCCCGCCACCCAGCAGCGACCACACGCGCCGCCGCTGGTCCGGGAGGCTCTGTGCACTGCGCCTGCTACGAAATCTGCACTCCGGGCGCTGAGAAACATGGTGAGGTTGGTGATGGCTCATAGGACCGTGCGGAATGGCAAGACTTGGCACATTAGTTTTGACACCTACACACATGATTCAATCAAAGAACCTCGAGGATGACTTGCATACAGGTTTTGCTTCAATCCATTGGAAGTTGACATCATCCAATGTGATGTTACCTGCATTGAGTCCGAATCGGGTTGTGATTCTGAATCTCAACAGAGCTGGAGGCTGAAACTCAAATTCAGAGATGTTCCAACCTCCAACATGAAATTGCCTTGGTCTGACAGAATGCGAGAATTCGCTACTTGGTTTTTTCAACAGACTGGATCTGGCTGGTGCTGCAAGCTGTATTTGCGCTGTGCCCGCCATACAAACGGCAGCAGCGGCCCACCGGCGACCACACGCGCCGCTGGCCCGGGGGGCTCTGTGTATACTGTGCCTGCCACGAAACCTGCACTCCAGGTTCACAGAGTGCTGTGCCTGCCACGCAAAAGGCACATGTGTGACCACGCGCGCCGCAGCTCACAGAGTGCTGCGCCTGCCGCGCAAAAGGCAGCCGCGGCCCAGCGGCGACAACGCGCGCCGCCACTGGTCCGGGAGGCTTTGTGTACTGCGCCTGCCACGAAACCTGCACTCCGGGCGCTGTGCCTGCCACATAAACGGCAGCCGCGGCCCGGCGGCGAAATCTACACGACAGGCAGGTGGTGTAATATGAGTGGTGTAAGATGAGTTGTGTAGGATGAGTGGTGTCAGATGAGTGGTGTAAAATGAGTGGTGTAAGATGAGTGATGTAAGATGAGTGGAGTAAGATGAGTGGAATAAGATGAGTGGCGTGAGATGAGTGGAGCGAGATGAGTGGTGTAAGATGTCTGGTGTAAGATGAGTGGTGTCAGATGAGCAGTGTAAGATGAGTGGTGTGAGATGAGTGGTGTAAGATGAGTGGTGTCGTATGAGTGGAGTGAGTTGCGTGGTGTCGGATGAGTGGTGTGAGATGAGTGGTGTAAGATGAGTGGTGAGAGATGAGTGGTGTAAGATAAGTGGTGTAAAATGAGTGGTGTAAGATGAGTGGTGTAAGATGGGTGGTGGAAGATGGGTGGGTGGTGTAAGATAGGTGGTGTGAGATG